TTTGAAAGTTGTTGTAGTTGGTCTTTACTTGTAATCTTGGTAATCTTAGTTTTAGCTTCATAGCAAAATGATCACCCGATAGGTGCTCTGCTCTTGCGCCAACGAAAAACTCACAGAATGTCTATCACTGTCTCTTATGTAAACAAAATTGACACAGACTGCAGTCTCAGCATATCCACTAGCATACACACACATTAAAAGCATAAGGCAGCCATCAGAAGTACTAACACAAACAGTCTGACATCATAAATCAATTCATCCTTAACAGAAGCAGCAGTTACAAACAGATTGAAGTTGCAGACACAGTCAATTTTTATCACACAAAGCAACACAAATTCTGCAGCAAAAGGCCACTCGCCGTTCCCTAAATCTACAGTTGACAACACCACGCTTGTCACAGTCGAAAACAAATTTGAAATGAATTATACAGTTCACAGTGTCGCACCAGGCACAATGTCTTTACTCAATAATATACAATTCTGATTCTATCCTAACGAATGTTATGAATACCTTGGAAGGCAAGAGTAACTAACAACGATTGCTTGAAAGAAGCTAATGAAAGTATATCTCTATATACAACAATAAGAAAGAGATAAACAAGGTTCTTTGGCCACATAATGAGAAGAGAGACATTGGAGAAGATTGTTACAACTGGAAAGATCAGTGGAAAGAGGGGTAGAGGCAGACCAAGAGAGATGATGTTGGATGGGCTGAAACGATGGAACGGAGGGATATCATCAAGAGAGCCGCTCCAGGCAACCAGGAATCGTGATCTGTGGTGATGCATGAATGCCTATGCCAGTTTGCATGGCACATGATGATAATCTATATCATTTGTCTCCTCCAGGAACATGAGATAAATCCTTCAGTTCGTTCATGTATCAGCAAGTTTGTCAGAAAGTTTAAAAAAATAAAGCAAAGTAAAGATCCCTCTTCACACCAGTGCAAAGAAGAAAAAGAACACTAGTGGTGCAGCAAACATGTGACGCTAGGCTCACATGTGTTTTAGATCATTGAGCATTTAATGGATTATGAGATCAACATCATGACAACCATCTTTCTTCCCAGAACTTTACCTGGTACTCACTTTCGGCTGAGTCGTTCTGGGAGCCAAGATGAATTGCGTGTGTGTGTGCGCGCGTGCACATGCGTGTGTGCATATGTGTATGTGGGTTTCCCTAAATCTGACTCAACACTGATCGGATTTCAAGACCTTTGGGTCGCCAGGTGAGCATCTAACCACTATGCTACCACTGCTCCCTGTTTTAGTATACTTACATTTAAAAAAAAAGGTCTATTGCATTGGATGGGTATAGTTTGCATGCTAAAAAAAAAAAGACACTGCATCCTATAAGTGCATCTGCCTGAGAGGTAAGGAACCAACAGTATGCTTACAAATAAGCTCTGGACCCAGACAAAAATCCAGAAGTGGATGAACAACCAGAGTTTACAGCTGGTGAACGCAAAAAAGAAGAAGATCAGTGATCTATATAACCTCACTCACACCCTCTTCAAAACTAGCATGCTTTAAATCATTAATACAATATTATGTGCTTAACATGACATGATTAATGGAAAAGAACTGAAAGAGAAGTGATAAGAAATTAAAGTCTAGTATAAAGATATTGTAAAGTTAACCCTGTCACTTCAAGAAGACTAAATATAGTCACTTCCGGTTGTGACACAGTCTTTGCAAATGCAGATTTATCAGCCTGTCTTGTGACCTTTTCTCAAAAGCATAGCTAAATTCCATTGGTTCTGTGTGTGCCTGCATAATGTTTAATAGGCCAGGATATGAATATAAAGGACCCTTTTCCACGCCTTTCAGGCGTATTGGGTATATAGTGCTAGACCTATATTTTATAGATCAAATGGTACTTTGTGAGTGATGTGGTCAGCATCATGCCGACCACCTTTCATTCCCAGGACTGTACCTGGTACCCACTCAAGACTAGGTCGACCTGGGAGCCAAGGTCATTTTTTAAAAAAAAAAAATCAAATCCTCGTCAGGAACTGAACCCACGACCTTTCAATCTGCAGATGAGCATCTAGCTGCTAGACCACAGTGGCTCGGATATGAATATAGTAACTAAACATAGACTTAGAGGGAGAGGCTTATGATGCCAATAGCTTATTAAAAGCAAAATAAATTTTAAATCTTCTTGTATGCCTCAGTGTTAGAGATCATAGGATGATGGCATGAATCACTCGATACACACTGGGGTTTTTCAAGCCCCCGAGGAATGTATTTCATTTAATGCTACATTTAGTTTGATTGAATTGCTTAGTTTGTTCTGAAATGGTGATTGTGAGAGACACATGCCAATAAAATTTTTAAAAAAAAATCATGAATTAAGAGAAACAAATGCAAATTTAACATATTTTATATACCAAAACATTACAAATTGTGAACTTTACCAAAATACAGTTCTACTGTAAATCAACAATACACTTTAATTCAAATTACAGAGGGGACACTGACATTTTAAATATCCAGTTTTACTTAACTTCTTTTTAATAACAAACACAATCTGGACAAGAATACAATTACAACCAACCAACAAACAAATCCTTAGGCTGAAATTGGCCAGGGTTGAACAGTACAGGAAGAATGATAAAAATGTTATTATACTTGCAAAGGTAGCCAGGGCTGCATAGTGGCTAGATGCTCATCTGCCTGAAGGTCTTGGGTTCAAATCCACATTACGTCTGATTTTTTTCACAACCGATCTTGACTCCCTGGTCGACCCAATCTAAGTTGACTATCAGGCAGCCGGCATGATGCTGACCACACTAAGTGCGGGTCTAGTCTATAAAAATATGAGTCTAACACCACAGGCTCTGTACACCATGGCGTGAGAAAAATCCTGTACTTTTTTTTTTTTAACACTTGCAAGCTTCTCTTTCCCCAGACATACTGGGGGAAGAAGATTTACTTTATTTTATCACAAATCTCTCAGTTCATTCTTTGAAATGCGGCATCATAAAAAGTATGAAACTACATAGTGCTCTGAGGCTTGGTCTACCATACTGCCACACTGAAATAGACAGGGACAGTCACTGGAGTACTGAGTTTGTGCGGTGCTCTCTGCAGACTGTTAGTTGCTCTGCAAGGAAAGATAATGGGATAATTTGGTGCAATGAAGTAGCTCCTGATTTAAACTTTACCTTTAATATAAACAGGATTCATGATAGCTACTAATATTAACAAGAAAAATAAAGTTAATACTCATTTGTGTCAGCTGCATAACCAATGCCTTAGCAGCATATTTTCTCAGTGACAACATTTAAACACATTTTTTTCTCGTTGTTCTTGTTCTTTTCTCACACTTCCTTACAGACAAAATTTAAACACTTTTCTCGCTGATATTGTTCTTATTTTTTTCAACTGACCTAGTAATCTTTCTATATCATTAATAATCACTAATGCTGGCAGGATTTTTAAAGGGCGAAATTAAATATTTTAAAAAGTTAAGATAGCGATATATTTATCTGGCAAATTCTGAGGCAACACAAAGAATCACACAACAGGTACCAAAATAAAAAAACAAATAGACTCCTAAGATAATAGCCAAAAAAAGCACTAAAGTGAACATTAATAAGAAAAACCAGAGTTGCCACATAAGATACATGATATCAAAAATTTGAACAGAAAAGAAGGGAATGAAGTAATCAGTTGTAAGTCCTATGACATTAAAATGGCACAATAGGATAATAAATGAAGTTCATTTGGTATATGGTGCTCTTAAATACTTGCAACTATTAAGAATATACAACACGTTATTTTTGAAACTTTTCCTGTTGTTCGTGAATGAAAGCCCTTATCGTTTTCGTAAATCCAAAAAATGTTTAACATGGTAATCAATTACAATGTACAAACCAAATATCTGAAACACTGGTAATGAAATTAAGAGAGTCCTAAATAAATCAGGGAACATCTAAACTATTCAAAGTAACATCTGCAGTAAGACACGGATGTGTCCTGGAATGAAAATAATAGTAACATCAACGAGTTACTCTTTTCTGATGACCAGGCCTTGACTGCAGATACAGTCGTGAATTTGGAACACCATCTCACATCCATGAATGACGAATGTAAATCAAATAATCTGAGAATCAACATCGAAAAGACAGAAGTAATTCAACAGGAAGAAAGAGGCTGAATTTAAATATAGTATTAGAGCATATATATATTAAAACAGACATCTGAGTAATATCTTGGAATAACATTTACTGAAGATGATAAATTGGATGAAGATATTGTCATCTGATGCAGTAAAGCAGGCTAAGTATTGGGACAGCTAGCCCCCCCTTAAAGCATAAGGCAATCCCAATTGGCACAAAGAAACATCTCATACAAAGCATATTCATTTCCACCCTATGCTACCAGTGCCAGATGTGGTCACTCACAACAAAACATTTAAAAAAATTAGTAACCATGGAAATGAGGTGTCTGAGAAAGACATGAATAAGGTCATAGGAGGTAAAGTCAGCACAGAACCAATTCTAAATTACATACAGAGACAGCAAATCAAACGGTTTGCTCACTTGGGGAGAATGCCTTCTTATGCTATACCATACAAAGCATATACCAAAAAGTAGAGGGACATAGAGCAAGAGGAAGACCAAGAACAAGATGGGAAAATAATATCAGAGAAACTCTACAGCACTACGATGTGTTTATGGTCAAAGATCAGCAGAAGAGCATAAAGCAGGAACTTATATGTATGTATCTAAAACGCAGATAATCTTCTGACCTTTACTATAAGTTTATCTATCAGAAGAAGGCAATTATAAGCATCCAATAAAAAGAAAAAAAACTGAAATAGTTCATGATAACAGGAAAGTTAAGGGAAACTGAGACAGTGGAATACCAAAGAGATGTGCTCGACAGCTTGGGATCATGGCAGAGAAAGATTTTTGTATCAAAGAAAAAAAAAGAAGAGGAAGAAGAAGAAGAGGAAGAAGAAGATTTTTGCTAAAACTAAATGCTGATAAGATCATAATTCTGTTTTCTCATCAGTACTCTCAGTGGCTTCTGAGTCATTGACCTCAACATCATCACCATCACTACCACCATTCTCTGCTGTGTTGTCTTCAGGTTTGTTGCTGTCCTCAGTTTCACCAATTTGAATTTCTTCATCAACAGTTTCTGGTAAAGTCAACATAGGGGTCTCTAGCACATCCATGGCACAAACTCCTGTAGGAAAAATATTTAATAATCACAAACAAGTACACCTTCTCTATGACTTACGACTGTTTGCACTTACGACCACACACACTAAAAATTTAAAAATTAGAAATAAAAAGAACTAGAAAAAAAACTATATTGATAGGGTCAAAGAGTTCCCAGAACTGATGCACTAGAGTACATATTATATATTTTTCACATTATGTACAATAATATTATGTGCACAGATTTAATTTTTATGTTTTATGTAAAATTAGGAAAGTAAAGGTCCTTGTTGCATGCATTTTTATAGACTAATCGGCACAAGATGTGTGATGTGGTCAGCATCACACCAGCCGCCTTTACTTCCCAGGACTGAACTCTGTACCCACTCAAGGCTCAGTCGACCTGGGAGTCAAGGTCATTTTTTTAAAGTCCGGCTCTGCCAGGAAGCGAACCCACAACTTTTTGATCTGCATGCAAGCGTCTAGCCGCTACGCTACACTGTGTACAATTTTTATAATCTTTTTGAAAAAAAATTTTTTATTTAAAAATATAAATTTGACTTATGACCTGTAAGTCAGAATGGAATGTGACTTATGGCCTGTTAGTCAGAATGGAATGTGACTTATGACCTGTTAGTCAGAATGGAATGTGACTTATGACCTGTTAGTCACTATGGAATGTGACTTATGACCTGTTAGTCAGAATGGAATGTGACTTATGGCCTGTTAGTCACTATGGAATGTGACTTATGACCTGTTAGTCAGAACGGAATGTGGCATGACCTGTTAGTCAGAATAAAATGCAGGTACAGGTAATTGCCAATGCAACTGTTATGCTACTGGTGTTGAGTTGAGCTGAGTCAAGAGTTGATATCACAACACCCGGGGCATTCCCATGCATGCTCTGTCCTCATCTTCAACAGTTAGCGCAGAGTTCCAATACTGATGGTACCCGTCACAATCTGGTTATATGTCAATCTTGCCTTTCCTCTAAATGTAGTGAGCTGGCCGGACCCTCTGGTTACACCCAGATGCCCCATTCTCTCCAGGCCATAATAATCTTCTTTCTCTCCTGATTTCGTTGTTATGCTACTGGATTGTGTTCTAAAGCTTTTTCTTCTTCTTCTTACAGTACACGCCGTGCTGCGTCTGTACCCATGTCTATCCACAACCTTCTGTCTCGTGTAATTCAATCTATTCCAGCACAGATGATCTTCCTTGTCAAAATTTTCAAGCACCTTCTCTCTCAGTATCCCTCTAACAATTTTTTCCCTCCAACTTTTCCACTGTCAAAATGTACTCCAGTTTTCTCCTTCCCATGACATGAACAAAGAATGTATCTCCTTCTGATGAGAGCAATTAGTTCTCTTTGTGAGTCAAGTTTCTTTCAGGATATCAACATTGTTCTAGATCTCAGGCCACATAAAAGAAAGCAGGTTGCAAATTTTTTACAGGACCAAAAAATGTGTTGGCTGTTTGAAGATTTATTAAGTTCTGTATTGCTTTCTGACTGAGGTGTGCAGAATTCTGATTGATTTTATTATACATCTGAATGGCTTCTTTGCAAGTCATGTGAAGAGAAGTATCTTTGCTCCATAATGAGGAAAAGTACACCTCAATATTATATGCATGGTGATACAAGGCCAGATACTGAAAGGCAGAACAGGACTAGAGAAGGAAAAGAAGAAGATGGTGATAGTTTAAAATGGCTTCTGTTGTGGCATGTCACACTGCAAACTGAATTATACTCTGGCTTATTTCTATTCATCTTGTCACTGACTTGTGGTTGAGGTGTATCAATGGCAATGTTTGGTTACTTGCTTTTTTTCACTATGTTTTTTTGCTTTCTGTGGTGTTTCTAAGAATCATTTTGCTTAAAAATGCATATTATTCTTGACTTTCAGATAAAGAGTGGAATGTCTCATGTGGGTCTGAACACATACTGTTCACATTAGCTAATAAACCATTTATATTGTAACAGATTTTTACTGAAGAGATAAAGGCAGAAGAGCGGACAAATTAGTAATCTATTACAGGTGCATTACAGAAACATAGGCTTTAACAAAACTTCTCATGGGAAAAGTCAGTTAAGATCCCATAGAACAGCTGGGGCATTGGTGGACTAAGCACACACCAGAATGCCCAAAGTGCAGTGACATTGATTGTGATAACATATTACAGACGCTACTAGATGCGGGGTGCCACATTAGCGCAGTTGACAGGAGACTCGCTTTCAAATCCAGTTGCGACTTGTTGCAGCCCACGGCCGGTGTTTGAAACTAGGGTTCACCCAGCCTCTAGGAAATGGGTACCAGGGTTAATACTCTGAGGTAAATGAAGGAACGTCACTGTAGTTACGGAGTTACGTGCGGATGGCGACACAGGCGGCTAATTTCTTATAAGCTGTCAGTGCTGGTGGCAGAGCACTTATGGTTTATAAATGTGTGCAATGATGCTGGTTCACATCTCCCGACTTTACCTTTTTACTTTTACCTACTAGACGCACACATAAAAAAATTAGGAGTGATAATTCAGCAAACGATCGGATAAGTTACAAAGATGAAAATGCATTTCAATATGCAATCTACATTTCAAATATTTGTGAGTCTTAAAATTAAGAAAAATACCATTGCCAACAAGACTTACTACTATTAAATTTCCTCAAAATATTTTCTAGTAAAATAAGTATTTTGTTTAAATTACCTAGTTTTTCTCCACAGATCAATTTCTCGTAGTTTGGAATGTTTTCACGCTGAAGCTGTGAGATTAATTCTTCCTCATGATCTTCTAGAAAGTGATCACACTAAATGAAAACAAAACAAATGAACATTAACGCCTTGTAGATGGCATGGGTGATAATGTCTTACCACAACCTGCAATCTTATAAAAGTATTCACCAGCTGATACCCCTCCATGCCATGACAAAAAGGTGTCAACAATCTTCTAACATTGTCTTCCTTTATCTCTCTGTCCACATATCTTTCCTGTAGTTGCATGTTCCTGTTTCTTTCTTCTCACAACATAGCCAAAGAATTATAACCCTCCTTCTGATGTTTGTGATACGCCATCTTTGGGCTATCTACAAAATTATTTAAACATAAATTATAAAATGTTTCATTAAAACGAAATTTTCCCTATAATATGAGTACTTTTATCAACAAAAGTCCATAAAACGTCTTCATAATTTGGGCTTTAAAAGGCGAAGACACAAGAGGAATTACACTGCACTGTACTTTCCCATATGCCGCAAACTCTTTCCATTGAACAACTATTCACCTGCCAAGAACATCACATAGGCCTGCACAAAGTAGGAATTGCAGTTCCTTAATTACCATCACAGATCTCTGATACACCTGCATTTGCAAACTGAAGAAAAGAGTCTCAATTCAAACCTATGACCTTCAGACTGCTTCTTTGACCCTCAGACTGCAAAGCAAATTGCTCCTATGGCCTTTAGACTGCAAAGTAAATGGCTTTAACCACTTGACCATGCACAACTCCAAATTTCACCTTCAACCCCAGATTTTATCTAAAGTATTTGGGTAAAGGATAGAGTAGCAAATCAGCCAGTGCATTACTTGCTAGCCCAGAAGTCCTAAGACTACATTCATACAATGCCTAAAGGATGAGTTTTTAAATGTAAATGTTGAATGTTGAATTAGGAATCAACATCATAGCACTCAGGACACACCCATAAGCACTCTGTCCCCATCTTTAGCAGCAAGTGAAGAGTTCCAATTCTGATGGTACCAGTACATCCATCTCACCTTTCCCTTGAGTGCTGAGTATCGGCCAGATCCCCTGGTAAGATTCCCTATCAAGCAGGCAAAACTAGGGTGACCGTTTACTTCCTGTTAAAAAGAATCCGGACCTACAATACCAATGCGTGCTCTGTGCATAATACCATCTAGTTTTCAAATTTCACATCAATGAACTTAAAACATGAGTTTATTTCCATTTGTAAGAGAAAAAAGGCTTAGTCTTAGTTTTAATAGAGGTTTCAACATCACTGCAATCAGGTTTCCCCATACTTGCTCTGTTCCTGTGCCAGTGCAAATCAAATGAAATGTCCCTCACAGTCACATTTGAAAAACTGGTGAACAAACAATTAGTTTTGGAACAATCCAGAAAAAAAAAGGCTACCATTGTATAGCTCAACATGCACTAAGGATGCAACACAGAACAAGTTTGAACCCCTAGCTAATTTACGCTTGTGGAGCTATCAAGACGGAGATCAGAGCACCTATGGATCTGTTAGGAGAGCTGTGCCAATAGTCCTCATTAATCACCATACAATACTTCATAACTCAATTTGTAAAGAAAAAACTTACATATATAGTCCTAAAAAATTATAGTGGTATAGACCATCATACACTATATACACTCACCTTATACATGAATGCCCTCCCCTCATCTGAAGCCAGCTTTAAACCATCTGTCTCGAGCCTCCTGCCATTAAATCCTACTGTCCTAACCATCTGCACTGATCCATCATCAAGAGTAATCTCTGAGTACAGTCTCATCTTCTCACAAACTGACTCAATGACTTCCTCTAGGTGGACCTCTGACCTTGCATACTGTTTCTAAGAACCAACAGATATAACATTGGTATGCTGATAGTGAAAGAACTGTACAATTAGCATACTGTTTCTGTTTAATTTAACCCTTTCTGTCCCAGTAGTTGCTATATAAACCTAGCCTACTGGTCATCATTTCATCATGAAGTGGGTTGAATTGCACTGTTTCACCAAGCCAGGGGCTAAGTACTTCTAACTTCAACTAGCATTTTATTCAATTTGCTTTTCCTAACCTCACACATGTCCCTGGTCTACTTTCAAAGCAGCAGGTTTGTGCTTGTCTGCATCTATGTATATTCCTTAGCCAATCCAATATGGAAACCTTCTTTCATCTATAGTTCTGTTCTGTTTTTCAGCGTCTGCTTTTGAAGAGGTTTATGCCTTGGTATGTGCTATGTCATCATCATCAATCAACAGGTCCTTTAACGAAGGCCACTCTCATCATGGCAAGCCGAAAGTCTCTCTTCTCAAGCCAATTCTCCAGCCTTATTTCTTTCATACACAATGCAGCTTTAATGTCCTGTATCCACCTTTGTGGTCTACATATGCCTCATTTTACGAAAACATACTATGTAGATTCTGGTATTTATGACCTCGGATACTGTATCTATTGTTAGCATAGCTTTTAAGTTGTTGAAACTCACAAGCCCCTCTATCACACCAAAGTGGAGACACATCAGTGTCCACTCTTACACTCTTGATAATTTAACACCTTCTGTAATAAAACACCTTGAAAGAAATTAACTCACAGAGATATTTCGATACTTAAATCAGAAGCTGATAGTACACATCGAGGGTAAAGCAAGAAGATGAAGATTTTATGTGATAAATTAACTGGCAATAAATTTCTATACTTATATATAACAAATCTGATCTAAATGTTTCTTTGCAATACTTGAGGATGTAACATGAATCATAATATTAAAAGTACTCCGTAGTAAGGATATACTGTACATCAGGCAAAAAGTTCCCTATTATTAAAGGTGTTTAAAGATGTGAGGATCGACTTCACAGCACCAGACAAGGCTCAGTCTCTCACTGCAGAGTGGTGGGTCGCGTGCTGAGAGCATCACACAAAGCACAAAATACCACAGCTAAAACCATGAACTTCAAAAACAGTGATAAACCAAAGAATGACGTCTTCTTCTTCGTATTCAATGGCTATAAACTCTGACGGAAAGCTCTAACTGTTCGCCCATTTCTAGACTTTAGCATTGTTCCAGAACTTGAGTTTTGTGTGCACATCTATTTTACAGATCTGGCTTATATGTATGCAGACTGCTGGTTTCTTGCCTCTCGGAAAAAAGGGATTCTAACTTCGAAAGAAACCCTTAAGTAGTCGACTCTTAAGACACGCTTTTTTTTAGGGAGACAGTGGGTCTATACTTGTTTTTCCCTACAATGGGGCCCAGAAACCACACAGGAAAATAAAGCACAGAATCAAAGGCAACAACTTCACAGCACAAATGGCTTAACCACTCGGCCATAGAGTGATGTATAAATACATGTAAAACTCTGAAAATCAATTATATGATGATGTAACACAATCACACACAAAAGTTACTTAAACCTTACATCTTTTATTTTTTGATTTCCTTTGGGATCAACCCTGAAGCTTCCAACTTGAATACTTTTCTTGGGGTCTACTTGACTCACTATCCATTCAGCTTCACTTACTACAGCTCTGCAAACTGCAAGAGAAATTCATACAAATATTTATATTTTAACTTCACAATCATTTTGGAATTGGGTCAGCTTTATGTGAACTGTAACTACTTAAAAAAAAATTAGAGCAGGAAGAAACTGTGTAAACATTACTGTTTGCTTGAGCTTCTGGAAGTCGCAGTGGCGGAGCGGCTAGACGTTAGCCACAGATCGGAAGGTCATGGGTTCACTTCCTGGCGGAGTGGACTTTTTTCAAAAAAATGGCCTTGGCTACCAGGTCGACCCAGCCTTGAGTGGGTACAGTCCGGGGAAGTAAAGGTGGCCGGCGTGATGCTAACCACATCACCCATCTTATGCCGATTGGTCTATAAAATATAGGTCTAGCCTTATATTCCCTATACACCTAGAGGCGTGGAAAAGGGTCCTTTACTTATTTTTTACTTACTTTTAACTGCTTCTTGTCTTATCATGAAAAGGAAGGCGGCACAATGACTGCCATCATTTTCCTAATTTAACATAAATTTTCAAATTCTAAGATTAATTGTCTCTCTAACCAATATATTTCAGGATCAATTGATAGCCTGGGCCAAGAGTTAATGGGTACAGTACTTCTGACATTTAATAGGCAAATGATTACCACAGATGCTACTGTTTACGCTTGGAAAAAAAAAGCTTCTAAAATACAGGCTTCTGTATAAGTATTTCCAAATCTATTTAAACCCTTTTATATGGTATCCCAATTACTTCAGCTGCTCTGAAAGTGTTCCAATTCCTAGCAGTATAAGTTAGTTTTATATCCTTTATGATGCTGCAGAACCAACTGCAGAATATTTTGGCTGTTGTGGTTTTTTAAGGCAAATTGACACTTAGTAGTCAGCCATTGCCTTCTGAATGTTCAACTGTTATACCACTGTCAAAGCCAAAGTAAGATGGTCTTCTGTCAAATCGCCTGCAGCTTGGATTGAACCTGGCATTCGAAATGCCTAAGCCACAGAGGCCTGGCAATATATCAGGGTTATATTAGTTAAGACTCTTCAGGGAACAATAACAATGCTCATTGGGCACAGTCATTGCAATAGACGGTGGCTAGCACCAGTTCAAACTGCATACACAGGTTTATTGGGCTACCACGGGAGGGTGTCTATCCAAACATCATTCCACTCTCACTGAATGTCAGAAAGAGAGTTCTGAAATGGCACACTGAACCACTTTTACTGTACGGCAGTGAAGATTTCAATGTCACTAAATTAGAAAGTATAACCCTTTATACAACTATAAGAAAGACACTCTTTTCTGGTCATGTGCTGAGAAGAGAGACAGTGGAAAGCATCATGACGATTGGAAAGATCAATGGGATATGAGGTTCAGGGAAACCAAGAGCAATGAAGCTAGATGTTAGCATGAAGGAATATCAATAGAATTGACCCCAATCACAAAGGATTGGGATAAGATCAAGACATAATTAGAAAATGTTTACCTCTGGCAAATGTTATCAAATTAAGCAGATGGAAAAGGCATCAAACACTAAGGACTGAGATCAGGTCAAGATTCGCTCACAAAATGTTCATCACTGGCAAATGTCATCAAATGAAGAAGACTGAGATGGTTTGGACATGTTTGCTGAATGCCTCGTGACACATTAACAAAAACAGCTCTTCAGTAGATGGCAGATGGAAAAAGGAGATGTGTCCTGGAGGTAAATAATAAGGGAAAGAAGAAATGAAACAACAAAAATGTAATGTCTATGATAAATCCTTAATGTAACAAGAAGAGACAGGATACGAAATAAGGATATCAGGAAACAAGTGGAAGAGGAATCACTACCAAACTGTTCGGAAATTTGTTAAGACTGCCACAGGATAGTGCAAGAAAGAAGCCCTATAACTTAAATACAGTGGAAGCAGAACTAACAGTCGTCACAGAAGCCATGGATAGATGGTAAACAGACTGCTGGTTCCTCACCTCTTGGGCAAATGGAGGACTTCTAGTAAAATACCCTGGTCTCTGAATAGTAAGATCAGATACTCGTGTGTATTGCTGCGCACGTAAAAAAAAGACCTTGGCAGTTGGAAATCAAAAAGAGTAGCCTAACAGTGCTGCCTAGGCAAAATTTAGTTAACAATCTATCCAAAGTATTTTAGGATCCTCGACGTTGCAACAGAGTTTGTGCACTGAGCTAAGATTCTTGTTAGGGGTGCAGTGGGTATATTCATTTATATTTTCCCCCATATGAGCCCTGGAACCCACAGGGGGGAAATGACTGTCTCATACAATAGAATGCTTTAGTGGTAAATTCCAAACTATCATAAATAATCTCACAAGAGACCTGGCATAGCTGGTTCAGCATGTATACTTGGCTTAGCATTTTTGATCCACTGGGAGCTAAATGGTAGAAGAAGAAATCTACTAAAAATCTCACCTGAACAGTACTTTGTATTCTGTCCGCTGCAAGAAGTACCCAGCAGGAGTAGTAGGTTTAAAAGCAGGACACCAAATAACATTTTTCAGTGACAGCAGGCTAAAAGAAAAATCATATGTCAAACACACAAAAAATATAAAGTCCCCCGTACATACCATTAAAAATTATTGAGGATTATATGTCAGGATCATATTCTCAATGGCTAAATATATTTGATAGCAGTGATTTGATCAACTATATCATATTCGACCCTTAAGAATTATAACAGGGTTTATAGTTTTTTGTCTGTCTTCTTCTTAAAGTCTATGCTGTGTGGCGCAGAAAAGTCATGTCTATCTTCACCCTTCTATCTCACGTACTTTGAATCAACTCTGATACAGATGATCTTCCAACATCAAAATATATAAAACGTTGACATGACCAGTTATTTTATAGGGCTCCGAAACATGGAACACAACTAAAAGAGATGAAGCCTTATTACAAAATTCCGAAAACAGTCTCATGATGAATCTTTGAACAGATCAAAGATGCTGAAACCGCAGGGAATGGAGAGTGAGAAACATTAATGAACTTCATAATCTGTTTAAAATCACTATTGATTACTGGCATCACGAGAGCTAATACTAATAGACTGAACTGGCTGGTGAGAGAATAGAGAGGTCAAAACTGTACACACAAGGGAGCTGAATGGTCGTAGACCATGAGGCAGACCAAGAAGACAATGGAGAGATAATATCCAGGTAGAACTACAAACACTGGGTGTCACCAGCTGGAAAGAGAAGGCCAACCAGCGAGACGAACGGAGGCGAGTGGTTTAACTTTATATGGCAACAATGAACCTCAAAAGCTCGGACGCTAGAGAATTTGAAGTTACTTTAGCTGCAATCAAAAACGTTCACCCCGTTAAGTTACCTGCAGTCTAAGGGATCTTTTAGTGATGTAATGTGTGCTGTAAAATGTTGCTCTCTACAACAATAATATTAACGTCAGCTTATCATCACAGCCTCCTGAGATCACCAGCTGTTCTGAATCTCGTCCACAACACATGTAATGTATCTTTCGTTTTCCACTAAGAATTGTACACAATTTTTAGACAACCCGTGCCATTGAGAAGCTGACGTGTCTGCGGCTTGTTGGCTTATTAATATTTTTGCTAACGTGTTATAAAATGTTAAGCCATATTTGTCAAAGACTATTTTAGTGTGCGCATATATAATGTTACCCTTCTTATCGTTTTGTTTCAGTTGATTAAAAAAAAAAAAATACGTATTTGTCTTGTTGATTTGCAGATCTCCAGTTTCCCAAACCTCACAGTCTGTCTCAAAGAAGTCAATGTTGTCTGCTGCTTCTGCTTTAGTCTATTAACTATTTATTGATGACCTTTGTAAGTTTCGTTCAAGTAATTTGAGGACCCTTTTCCATTGGCGCATTGGGTATATGATGCTAGCCTCTGGTTTATACCAGTCGACATTACCTAGTACCCATCTTTATCTTAGGCTGCACGACAAAGTGCTGATTCGAACCCAAGATCTTCTGGCCGGCAGACGAGCGTTTAGCCACGACGCTACCGCGGCTCCCTGTGATAGCCTTTGTTTTTAACACTTCATATCAGAGATTTTTTTTTCTTCAAACTGTTGTTTAGTTGATAGCGTCAGAAGGAGACAATCTTCATTCTAACATTCTTTGGGCTCATAAGAAATAGGGAAACGAGGGCATTATGACTAAGGCGTCACTAAGGTCTGGTAGTCTTAGTTTCAGCTTCATAGCAAACGGGTTGCCCCATCTTTGCTCCGCTCCTGTGCCAGCGAAAAACACTCAGAATGTCTATCACAGTCCCTTGTGGAAAGATTGACAGACTGCTGTCTCAGCATATCTAGCATACACTCGCATTAAAGCATATGGTAGCCATCCGAAGTGCTAACACAAACAGTCCAACATTAGAAATGCAGTTCATCATTGATGATAGCAGAACTTGTCATCAACAGATCAGCAGTTGTCCGCGTGATCAATTTTAATACGGGTCCCGCCAGCATTGAACGACAGGCATCGCGCCATTTTCTGAATCTACAATTCACACCACCACGTTGGTCACAGTCGAAAAAAAAACATTCCAAATGCAATCCGCAGCTCACAGGGTCACGCCATGCATTCAACTCAGAAGCTGGGCGACGAAACTATATCCAGTCTACAAATGGAGCAAAAATGCATCGGCCACCGTTCGGCAGAAGCAAAAAATGTGCCTCTGTTCCGAACGGCGCCGCTGTTAGGCGTCACTAAGGGAACGATGTAGGTCGTGGCCGGCCGAGAAAAGCCAAGAGAGAAGATATTAGACAGTCTGGAATCATGGCATAGAAAGACATCTGTATCAAAAATGATTGACAGTACATGAGACAGAAAGCAGTGTACAGTGCACTATATGATCACGCCTTGAGGATCCTGACTCGGTTGAGTTGAGTCAAGAATTGACTTCACAGCACTCTGGGTATTCCCATGACTTCTCCATCCTCATCTTCAGCAGCCAGCGCAGAGTTTCGATACTGATGGTACTGGTCACAATCTGGTTATGTGTCCGTCTTGCCTTTCCTCTGAGTTTAGTGAGCGACCAGACCCTCTGGTTACACCCAGGTGCCTCATTCTCTCCAGGCCATTATATTCGTTTCTCTACTGATTCCGTTGCTTGTTCCCACAAGGCCTTGACCTCATCTGCCTTGTCATGTATCAATTCACCACCCAGAGAAAAGATCCAAAGTATGCTCACTACCTTCCCAGGAAAGCTAGCCACTCTGCTGGAAGCATCCCTGTCTTCACCTTTCTCAGCATGCTTTCAGTCTGTTACAATTATAGCAAGTGTATGCATCTGGTTCTCTAACAACTGGAGACCTGCAGTTACCGCCTCCACCTCCATTCTCATGCTAGATGTTGTAATGTCGTATGCTAGGCTGTCTTGCACTAAAGATTAACCATTGGCTTTAGTTACGAACCCCCAGGCACGTCTCTTTCCTCTCAACACCGAACCATCTGTATAGATAATCAGATCACCTGTGCGTGAATTGTCCTGACTCAGTCATACAGTAAGCAAACTGAGAAGCCAGTACACAGCAGCATAAATGATATAGAATAGGGCTATGTCATGTAGTAATTTTCTTTGGTGCACAAAAGGTGCAGATCTATGCATTACCTCCTTGACTGTCCAATCGTGGAACAGAACTTGTAGTAAAATTTCAGGATATATAGTGTCCAGTGTATTTTCAGTACACACTTTTTTGTAAACATAGTATGATTTATAATAAAGCAAACATTTAATGTCAGAAAGAGGGTGCTAAAATGTTACGTAGCACCTGTTCTGCTGTATGGCAGCGAATCTTGCAATGTCAGTGAACAAATTAGGAAGAATTTGGAAGCAACAGAGATGTGATTTCTGAGACGAATGGTATGAATACTTTGGACGGCCAGAGTAACTAACAATGATTGCTTGAAAGAAGCTAATGAAATTAGATCTCTATATACAACAATAAGAAAGAAACAAACACTGTTCTTTGGCCACATAATGAGAAGAGAGACACTGGAGAACATCATGACAACTGGAAAGATCAGTGGAAAAAAGGTTAGAGGCAGACCAAGAGAGATAATGCTGGATGGGCTGAAATGATGGCATGGAGGGATATCATCAATAGAGAGCTGTTTCAGACGACAAGGGATCGTGATCTGTGGAGATGCATGAACGTCTTTGCCAGTTGGCAGGGAACATGATGATGATGATGATAAAAACAAACAGTCAAGTGGGCCTATTTGCCAAAGATTTGTCTAACCCTTAATCATTTTTTAAAGTCTTGGTTAGATCAGATGAGGACATTATTTAACAGGTTTGTTCACTGAGGATATAGAACCTGGTGAGGAATCACACAAGTGACAGTAGAATGCTGTACATCATTTTCAGTGAATAGAATGTCAGAACAAAAACCTAGTACTTGTGGACTTTGAAAATTCTTGTAGTAAAGAATTTGTGTATTAATGACTAACTTTTATATGGTCATTTACTAGTATGAGTACTTGGCACCTATGGAGCTTATGTACATTTGTTGGAGCAGGTCAGAGAGAGAGCTAAAAAAAGACTAGTGTTTTTGTTTAATCTACAATAAGTCTGACTAGGGAGGTCACTTTAGTAACTTAAACAACAACCAGGCTAGAAATACGGTTATTATCCTAAATGTGCTTTCTCAGTGACCCAGTGAATAAATTCAGAGAGACTGAGGAAAGTTGGGTCTTAAAGCAATGTTTAAAGCCCCAGAGGTCAGTTCTGACAACAACACTTTCATGTTTTTTTTTACCTACATGTCATCATCATCATCATCATCAGGTGCCTTGCCGACTGGCGTGGGCGATCATGCCTCTCCATAATCCACGATCTCCTGCAGCATGTATCAGTTTGTGTGCCGACACACCTCAATGCCATGCAGCAAGACTGTCAAGAATCTTCTCTCGTTGTCTTCCTCTATCCCTCCTTCCACAGATCTTTCCAGTTGTCACAACATGTTCTATTTTCCCTCTTCTCATAACATGGCCGGAAAATGATGACTGTCTCCTTATGATGTCTGTGATAAGTTGTCTTCCCGCCTCTTTCAAAACTTCTTGGTTGCTCTTTTTGGCTGTCCAAGGAATTCTAAGCATTCTTCTGTAAAACCACATCTCTGAGGCCTCAAGAAATTGTTTGGCCTGCCTACCGATTGTCCAGGATTCACAGCCATATGTTAAAACTGGATGTATGTAGCAAGCAAGAATTCTTTTTCTAACTCTCAATGACAAGGATATATTGCACAAGATATTCTTCATTTTATAAAATGCAGTTTTTTCCTGTCCTATTCTGTTTCTTATCTCAGTTATGCATCTTCCATCTGATGTTATCCATGTGCCCAGATACTTAAATTTCTGTACTTGTCCTAAAATAACACCATCGACTTTTATTACACATTTAGGAATAATATGTATAGGTAAAAAAAAAAATCCTGACCAATAATGACTGCACTAGACATGTGACAATAAATCTTAAGACTCAAATACCCCCTTTCCCCCACCCCGACCTACACTGCAGAAGTGGTAAATACAGGCAGTTATGGCTGGAGTGTTCTAAAGTTTGTATATTTATGAGGTAGGAAAACTGTTTTATTCCCTTGGTAAAGAAGAGGAAACTCCATTTTAAAATTGAATAGCATGGAGAAGAGGTCACAAGACAAAAGAGACATGAAGAAATAGAATAACATGGGGAAAAGGTAGTTAGACTAAAGGGACAAGAAAACAGAGAACAAAGAGGAGTTTTGTTAAATGGACTTGTGTGATGTTATCATGTCCAAGGTTTTGTGTGTGTTGACTGGTCCCACAGTGACGGTATGTGTGATGCAAGTTTAGTGCTGACGGCGTGACCAGCCAGCCTAAATCAGTTCTACTGTGTGAAGATGCAACATTCGACAGCATGTGTCATGTCCTTTGTAGGGACTATCTGTGATGCATATAATTTTAGACGGTAGACCAGAAGACAGATGTTCATTTATCAATCAGTATGATAACAAACTTTATAAAACTCTACTGGGAATTCTGTTTTTGATGTCAGTAAGCTGTATTCATCGGTGTGTGAGAGTGAATAATTACTGAGCACTTTAAACAGTAAGCACACAACAGAGAGAGTTAAAGTAACTCAGTACATGGCAGTTATATTTTGGTAGTACATGGGTATGTCATTCACACTGAGGAGAAGACTTTCTGGTTTAACGGGCTTTTAAATAAGTCATCTCTTGTCATCCTTTTCATTTCTACCGTTTTTTTGTGTCGATGTAATAAATACTTAAAAAAAATTTTTAATTGTTGTTTCACACAGTGTTGCACTTAGTATTAATTATGTCTTTCTTTGTTTCACTACCCAGGTATAACAGGATAAACACATATCAACAACACAAATGAAGCTAATTGCAAAAATTGGTGGTCTACATACTGGCCCATTTTACACAATCCCATCAAAAATCATCAGAAAATTGTTTCAGCCTGTCAAGGACACTTACAGTCAGGCTATTCCTGCATCAATACCAGTCCCATCATATGTGAGCAGTGGCGTGATTACTGGCCCTAGCCAGCCAGAAATCAAGACAGCTGACCAGATCAAGAAGATGAAACCTGCTTGCCAGCTAGCTGCATCTATTCTTAGAACTGTTGGTGATAACATAAAAGTAAATTATATCATTACAGTTTGTATGTGATTCTTTTGCTGCACTTGAAAAACAAATTTTAATATGGTACTGGACATAAAGTAGTCATGACATGCTTATTGGGGAGACAGTGGGTCTATTCTTGTTTTTCCCACAATGGGGCCCGGTACCCTCATGTGGAGAATTTGGCTTAGGTGTTAGCAGAATGTTGGTTCCTGGCCTTCAGGCAGATGCACTCCGACTTGAAAAGGAAAAACCCCTAATTGTCGACTATTACAACATGCCTGTTGGGGGCAAAATAGAGCTAACCAATAGTCCATAGATGCTCAGGACTTTGCTAATCAGCTACTTCTTTTGATCTTTTTTGAACCATTGTAAATAAGTCGACTAAATTGTAGATTTTACAGTAAACAAGTTAAGTTAAATTCTTTTCAGAGGCATATCTTCATAATAAATTATGCTGTGTCCAGACCAGATGCCAGTTTTGCTAGTTTCTCAAGGTCATGATTATCACAGTATACATGACCCATCGGTTATTCCTGATGTAAGTGCTGGTACAGTAAAATGGTAATCTTCTGCAAAGTTATAAATTTTTACCTCAAACTCATTATGTAATAGATGTCAATGTCATTTTTGATAAGCCAGCTGCATGACACCATAACTCAGCACTATGTGTGGATAGGCCTTTAACTAAATGACTTTGAACGAGACTTATTTTGGGTTCGGTTCACTAATTTGCAGAAGAAAATCATGAAATTACAGTTTTTCTTTGGTTCCCTGTTGAACCCGTTATAGTGTACTTATTAACATTGCTTCCTGAAACTAATGAAAGTAAACCTTCCAATACTTTACCAAGACAGTTTCCTGATAACAATGTATATTGTAAAGAAGAAAACACTATATTTGATATTCTTCATTAATGAAAAAAAAATATTTGCTTAATGTCATGGATGTCTGGAATGAGCATACAAAATGTCATTATAATCGGCCCATTAGTTTCCAAAATATTAAAATCTATTCATGTTCATGAGTTTCTAAATGGACTATAGTAAGTTTATTTTGCTTGAAACTGTAATGAAACTCAAAAATAACTATTGTTCAAATATTAACTTTTTATATATCTTTCAGGTTGGTATGACAACTGAAGATATCAACACAATTGTACACTCAAAATGTATTGAAGCCGGTGCTTACCCCTCCCCATTGAAATACAGAGGCTTTCCTAAATCAGTTTGTACATCTGTGAACAATGTGGCCTGCCATGGAATTCCAGGACCCCTTAAATTACAAGATGGTGACATCATTAATGTTGATATAACAGTATGTGGTATATTCAGTTATATTCACTGGTCTTTCTCCTTCTTCTTCTTCTGCGTTCGGCATCAGTTATGCTAGACATTGAGTCCCGTCTGGGTCACAAATATGATTGTGAGTTTAAGGTCGCCTACGGTCCCCCATAGCTTCTCTTTCAATGTGGCTCCCTTGGGCCAGATCCACAGTCTTTGCTGGGAGAGGTTAGGGCAGTACTGTAGTATGTGCCCAGGGGTCTGTCTTTCTGGTCTTTCCCCTGACTTTCAGTATGTCTATTGTGCATCTATTTATCTTCTTCTGTCTTTCTAACCCCCAATGGAGCACAGGCCCTCAAACAACTCGCGCTAAGTAATTCTATCCTTCCCTATCACATGCAGCTCTTCCCATGTCCTCCCCGTCTTTTTAACTTCACTCTTTAGCTCCCTTCTCAGTGTGTTTTTTGGTCTTCCTTTATTTCTTTTTTTTTTTTACTTTTCCATGGTTGGTTGGGTTTTGTGGTTATTGTTTTTACAGGGCATGCTGGGGAACAGTGTAACAGAGAAAAAGTCTGACCTGTGTAGGGTTATGATCACATTGGGCCGGGAGTGCAAAAGGGGCTAGCGGGTGCTACAGAGATGGAAGTCCAACAGTTGAGTCAGTCAATTCACGCCCAGGTGATCTGATTATCTATACAGATGGTTCAGTGTTGAGAGGGAAGAGAAGTGCCTGAGGGTTCGCAGTGAAAGCCAATGAAAAATCTTCAGTGCAAGACAGCCTAGCATACAAGGTCTGACAATTAAGTAATGAGACTGATATTATTATGGCTAAGACAAAAATGTCTTCTATGAATCACAGGATAGAATTTAAAGAGGCAACCTTCGTCTATGATCTGGCAACTTTTTATCGCCCCCAATAAGCAAACAACAGACAAGCTGCCATTTTGTTAACCTAGTCAGCGGTGCATGGTTACGTAATCAGCAAGGAGTTTTAAAAAAAAAAAGCTAAAATTTAATTCTGTTTAAAACTCAGAAAAAGCGCCATTGCAACAGTTGAATTGATGCGACAAGTTAATGGGGATAATTGTTTATCTTGTGCACAGATTTTCAGCTGGTATTAACGATTCAAATGCAACTAGACCTCGACGCCCTATTTCTGTTCATTATGAGGAACTCATTGCAAAATTCAGAAAACAGATACAAGATCATTGTTCAACTGTAAAGATGATGGTTGATGAATTTAGTTTCAATACAGACACTGTTCGTAAAATTTTAGTGGAAGATTTGGGCAAGAAAAAAGCTGCTTGCTGGTTTGTAATCAACACCTGGCAATTTGTTTCTTCTTCATGACAATGCACTAGCTTGAAGGGCCGTAGTTGTACCGGAATTTTTGGCCCAAAAACAAGTGCATGTTCCCAGCCATCTACCCTATTTCCCCGGATTTGTCTCCCTGTGACTATTCTCTATTCCCAAAATTAAAGTTGCCATTGAAAGGACGCTTCTTTTACAATATTGATGACATCCAAGGGGCTGTAACATCGAATTTAAGGGCCATAACGACAGAAAAATTACAGAGGTAATTCCAGTTTTTGTTAGATCGTGCCGCTCACTGTATCAATGCACAAGGGGCTTACTTTTAATAAAATACAATTTATATCTTCAGCTATTAATTATTTTAATTTTTATGGAATTTGTCTCATTACTTAATTGTCGGACTTGGTACGACATCACAGCATCTAGCATGAGAATGGAGGTGGAGGCGGTAACTGCAGCTCTCTGGTGGCTAGAGAACAAGATGCATACACATGTCATAATTGTAACAGACTCTAAAAGCATGCTGAGAAAGGGGAAGACAGGGATGCTTCAAGCAGAGTGGCAAGCTTTACTAGGAAGGTCACGGTTAGTGAGCATACTTTGGATCTTTTCTCCAGGCCATGCCGGCATAGTGGGTAATGAATAGCCAGACATATTCCCTGGATCTGCACCACTGGGTGGTGAATTGATACATGACAAGGCAGAGGTGGTCAAGGCCCTTTGGGAACAAGCAAGGGTATCAGTAGAGAAAGAATTTTATTATGTCCTGGAGAGAATGAGGCACCTGGGTGTAACCAGAGGGTCTGGCCGGCTCACTACACTCAGAGGAAAGGCAAGACGGACATATAACCAGATTGTGACCGATACCATCAGTATTGGAACTCTGCGCTGGCTGCTGCAGATGAGGACGGAGCATGCATGGAAATGCCCCGAATGCTGTGTCAATTCTTGACTCAACTCAACTGTTTTTACAGGATAAGGTAGCCCAGTCCTACCCTTAGTCGTCTCCTTCTACATGCCTGGTAGGATGCAGTGTTACTATTCTTTGTTTCCCTTGAGGGCCCCAGTGATATACGGGGATAATATATATATATATATAGAATATATATATGTATATATATATATATATGTGTGTGTGTGTATGTATGTATGTATATATATATATATATATATATATATATATATATATATATATATATATATATATATATATATATATATATATATATATATTATGTATATATATATGTCACTTCTTGACTCATTCTTTACAGAGCGACTCATTATGCATTTATTAGGGTTCCCTTACATAATATGTTTTTATCAACTTCATTTGCTTTTCTGGCTGTGATATTTGCTCATTGTATACTGCTTGTTACTTCAACTTCTTTTGTCCCATAAGAGGGGGTCTCTGTCACAAAGTGGTCAAGCTGTTTGCCTCGCGCTCTGAAGGTTGTTGGTTGATTTCACGGCTAAGCCCTTCAGTTCACTAGTGCAGTTTTTACGGATTTCCCTCGGGATCATCGCCAGAGCTACAGAGTTCATGCTCTATGTGGCGCTGTCAGCAGGCAGCTAACCATTCTACGGAGAGAAACAGAGCCTTATGGGATAAAAGCTGGTTCAATGAAGTCGACCCTCTCGACTTTAACCTTCTTTAACTTAGTCCCATAAAAAAATAATGTGAATTATTTTCGACTTAGACTATTATAATTTTAGGCATAAAGCTTTAAATTGGAAAGAGTTGAAAAAATTCCTGCCTGAGACTGACATTAAAGGAATGTTTCAAAATGTTGAAATCTCTTTAAATTCATTGGCAAATAAAGGTCTAGGTTGGTGATGTGTACCTATCAATCCAGCAAGCGTATGAGGGAAATAGGAAGTTTTTTCTTCACATTTACAAGCTGTAAAGTTCTGGTTGTTCATCCACCTCTGGAATTAAGTTGTGTGCCAAAACCTGAGTTTTGCATGCACATCCATTTGACATATTTTGAATATTTATATGCAGACTGTTGGTTCCTTGCCTCTCAGGCAGATGCTCTCTGACTTTGAAGAAAACCCCTAATTAGTCTACTCTTACGACATGCTTTTCAGGGAGGCAGTGGGTGGGGAAAATTTCAAAAAAGGGGTGACTCCTGTGACTGACTGTTCACTGCTTGATCTGGTCGTGAACAGTTTTAGATAAATGGCTTGAATGGGAACTCCATAGGACCTGATCCATGATTCTGGTGACTGAATGGGAAGGCAAACTGTTACTGTCTCTCAGCATGATACGCTTATCGGCAGGGTACACGACAATATGTATTGGTTCAGTTTTTTTTTTTTTTTTTTTTTTAACAACGGGTAGGCTAACCCAGTCAGTAAATGCTTTCAGAAGTCGAATGTATTGTCCGAAAGGTGTAAATATCACAGCCAATGCTGTGAATGGGTACAACACAATTACATCTTCAGATGAACGCAGAATTTGAAGACAAATCCTAGTCTAAGAAAGGTTGGTGAAGAATGAAAGGATAAACAGTGTCATTCTTTCATATTTTTTTAAGAACAAACTGCAAACAAATTACATTAGCGTTGGTCAAATACAGGCATGTCTTTATTTCTTGTCTTATTAGGTGTTTTACAAAGGTTATCATGGAGATACATCACAGACTTTTATGGTTGGGGATGTTAATGAAAGAGCTCGAACCCTCGTAGAAACTGCAAGACAGTGCAGAGATGCTGGTATTAGTGTTTGTAAAGATGGCACCCTGTTTTCTGATATTGGCGATATCATTTAGTAAGTTGAGTTGTCGTTGTGTCAGTTTCATTAAATGTTTTTGGGGGGATAATTAGTACTGAAGAATTGTTGTTTGTTTATCTACTTTGTGCTGATAATTAGTGTTTCACTAAAAGCTGTTTTTTTTTTTTTTATTGTCATGATTATTCTTTGTATTTTCCTTGAAATGGACAATTGGTATGTTGTGTTCTGGTTTACAGCTAGGCTGTGATATTTTTTGGTCCAACACATTTGATTTCTGCAAACTCCTCATTAGTCACTTTTAAATGACATGCTTGTTAGGGAGCAGTGGATTTGTTATAATTTTCCCCAAATCAGGGCCCTGGAACCCACACTGGAACAGGAAAGGTCTTTGTGGAAATTTGAATAATCATGCTCATTCTTCTTGTTCTTCACAACAACCTCTAAATCTGCTATGCCTTCTCCTGCCCTTAATTTCTGAATGGATCATAGATTCTCAACTTTCTCATACAAAGCCCTCCTAACCTTTGCTATCATTTTTCCTTCTGGGTCTTTACATTGGTACTCACAATGCTCATTACAGTAAAGGATGGTCCTTTTCTATTTGTTAAGCTCATCTCAGGGACTCTGAAATTGTGTGGGGAGCTCCTGGGAAAGTCCAGTAGTATAGTTTTAGGATGTGAAATGAACACTGACTAACGCTATCAACACCCCCCCCCCCCATAATATTGGACTTTCTCAGGAACTCTCCATAAAGTCTCAGAGTCCTGAGATGGGGTGAACAAAATGAAAAGTACCTAAAGGACCCTTTTCAAGGCATATAGTTGCTAGACATATATTTTATAGACCTGTCAGCACACGATGGATGATGTGGTTAACATCGTGCTAGCCACCGCTTCTCATGACATTAGCTGGGGCCCGTCTTTGCCTGGGTCAGCCTGGCAACCATGGCCAGTTGTGAAAAAATACATCAGTCTTGGTGCAGATTTTAACCCTAGACCTTGGGGCTAGCAGGTGAGCTAAGCTACTGCAGCTCCACATAGTGCTCATTATTGCTCATTAATGCTTTGAAAAAAGTAGTATTATGATTGCATTGCACATGCTCTGTAGCAAAACACATGCTCTGTAGTCAAACACAAGCTCTGTAGCAAGACTAGTACACAATAGACCACTTTAGGTAATCTCAGATGCGGCGAAGAATATCTGACGTGAAAAAATCTGGTTTATCCCGTTATTTTATCTTTGTTTTTGTAAAAACAATGTCTTATTGAGTGGAATCCATTTGTCACAAATTTTTTTTTTGATATGCTGAAGAATTAAACGTTTCCAGCTGTATAATTTAATAAGCTTACGATGAACTTTTTCTCAGATACCTGGATATTTGTACAACTTTTCAGCTATTTTTAAAAATTGCATGCTTTTTTTTCTCATTTCTTTAGATTTAAAGAGGCCATGAAAAGACATTTTATTAAGTCAATTACTAAGATACAGAGAGGATAATTACACTCTTTTTATTTAAAGAATTCTTGATCATTTAAGAGCACAAATCCAAGAGATAATAACTGAGGTTAATGATTCAAAATATTTCACAGTTGGAAGTTTCAAATTGCATGAATAAAACTAATATATATACATATTTAATGCAGACTTGATGCCTTACATATTTTTTTTTTGTCACACATCTGTCATATTCAGTGAAAATTCTCTATTGTATTGTGCTTTGTAAATGCATTACTAAATACTTGACCTCTTAAATGGATATGGATTTCTGATGAGAACTATTTCTAGGGTTCCTGATGATTTCTCATCAGTTCTGCACTGAATGTGTTGCACACTGTCTTTAACATTGCCTGATTGTTTTCTCACTGATTTTAACATTATCCAGTTGCTCACTGATTTTAACATTATCCAGTTGCACACTGATTTCAAACACTGTTTAGATATTTGAATTATATTGCCTGAATATTTTTACTGTTTCTTTCCTGGTTACCCCCCAGTAGTTATTGAAATATTTTTTGACAGTACCACAGCTATAGATGCTGGTTTTGATGTTATAGCTTCCTGCTGCGGCCACGGAATAGGAGAATATTTTCATGGGCCTCCAGACATTGTACATGTTCGTAAGTAATATCTCAGTCTTCCATCCATAGTATTTTTCTGTGGATTGAAATTATCATTATCATCATCAAGTTCTTATCAGCTGATGTAAACAGTCATGCTTCTCCACATTTCTCATTATCTAGCTGAATATATCAGCATGTCTGCTGATAGGCTGTTAACCCATTCACTTATGTAACGCAAAAAATATGGCTTAAAAATCCTTTTGAAAACAGCAGTTTTACACAGATGATTAGTAAATATTTATTTTTACATTGATTTATGTACGTTTGTGTAGTTATTTCTCCCTTCTATATAAAGGAGTAATCAGTAAACCTGAATAGAGTGAAGCATTAAATTCAGTACATTCCTGGGGGTATAAACAGTATATGTATTGGGTGACTTGTTGACCTTTATTACTGAGGCTTATGGGAAATTTGATGACAACTTGCCTTTAAACCGCCTATTTGGTTTCAAGGCCCCCTCCCAATGCTATTTTTTAGTACTAAATTTACCTCCTGACCTAATTAATATTTGCTCAGGTGTGAACATAGCCAATAGCATTAACTATGCATCTTGTAAACATGTCACTTTAGAGAAGTCACAATTTACAAGGAATTGGCCCCAACTTAAAGTATTGGTTTTGCATACTTCTTGGAACAACTGGGTTAACAAATTAACACATTCCCTGTCTTCCTCTGCTTCTTTCTTTCTTTTTTTTTTTTTGGTCCATATTAATCATACCAGTTGTTACATAATGGTCCACTTTCCTATTTCCATGATGTACTACAAATTATGAGTGTCTCTAACTTATTTTTTTGACAGATTGTCTTCTTTACAAAGCCTCCTTCAAGATTGCCGAGTTGAAGAAAATAGCCAAAAGGCTTGATTTTGTTCTCCATCTAACAGTAAAGTTTTGCCATATAAAGTGCCTGCAGCACGCCAGTGATAAATAACTCTTTCAGTAAGAAGTTTTCCTAAGAAGCTTTTACTTGAATAAATGTGTAGGCCTGAAAGAGTTAGAAAAATAACACCACAAAATAGAAGGAGTTAAAATGACTGAGGCAGTGGGTGTGAAGGTAACAACTACATAATGCATATGTAATAACGGAAAGTAGAAGCCTAGAGATGTTGGGTAAATTGTTTGAGACTGAATGTTTTGAGTCTTTTTCTGTATTCATCCTTAAAAGGGCAGTTGGCATATTGTGATGTGGTTTACAGCTGGCCTATGATATCTACGCATTCCGATCCAGCATATTTGATTTCTTGCATTTTATGACAGGCTTGTTAAAAGGAAGAGAGAGGGGGGGGGGGGGGGGCTGCAAGTCTGTTCTTTTCCACCTCCAAAACAGTGCCCTAGAACCTATATGGGCAAAGAATTTTTTTTTTTTTCTCTTCAGGTATTTCACTAAATAAAGATGGTCATATATGAAGGTCTTATGATGTTACAATTTTATATGAAGGTCTTATGATGTTACAATTTTATATGAAGGTCTTATGATGTTACAATTTTATATGAAGGTCTTATTATGTTACAATTTTATATGAAGGTTTTATGATGTTACAATTTTATCAGCTATTCTTTAAATATAATTGAGTTATAAATGTCTGTTTTTAATTCTTGCAGCCAATGATGCTATGGGTGATGAACGTATGAGGTCAGGCATGGCATTTACGATAGGTAATAACCTTTTTTTTTTTAAATGACCATTTATAATCAATGTATTCTTCATGTTTGAAAAACATTTTAGATGTGTTGAGTAAAATTATAAAAACTAATGAGCAGAGAATAATAAAAACAGAGATGAGATGTCTTAGAAAAACTGAAGGCATAACAAGAAAAATATAGTAAGAAATTAGATGAAGACTAGAACTCAAAAACCAATCATACTGTTTAGTAAAGAGCAACAGATGAGAACGTCCTGGTACCAACTGTTGTACAGAGCCACGCTGATACAAATATATATATATATCATGGACGCAGAGCAAAGGGAAGACCACACAGTATATTGAATGATGACATCAAGAAGAGCCTTAAGGAAATGAAGACCAACTTAAACAATGTATTAGAAAGAGCTCACAGAACTTCATTACACCCCTTTGCGCCAAAGCTTAAAGGAAGTAAATGAAGGAAGTGTAGAAGAAGAAGAGTAAAGCATGTGTAGAATGGAAACATGAACTCTGACCGAAAAGATTTAACGTAAAATTAAGGTTTTTCAAATAGATCTTCAGAAGATGAGCAATATTCTTGACTGGAGACATGAAAATAGAACATTTAAAAAAAAAAAGAGAGATTTTTCCCTCTGTGAATGCAGTCTCAGAGTTTGACACCCACTGACTTGAAGAGCTGCTTTTTGAATGTGAATCCAACATTAAGAAACCCAAGAAACTGCTTCCATCTGTATGAAACAGTTATTTTAAACCACTCTATTGTTACACACACAAAAATCACTTACAGTTCTGGGTTTTGGAATCTTTGCTATACATTAATTATGAAAACATAAGCTCAGTGCAGTCTGATTTACGTGTAATGATTGAAAACTTCAACTTTTCCTTATCCTGATCTGCAAATTTGGACCAGAATAAACACTTGTCTAGAATAAAACACTTATTCATCATCATCATCATGTTGTGAGGTTATATATCACATAAAGCTCACAGCCTTTTCTTCTATTCTATTTGAGTTGAGTTGAGTCAAGAAATGACATCACAGCACTTGGGTCATTCTTATTCATGCTCTGTCCTCATCTTCAGCAGCCAGCGCAGAGTTTCAGTACTGATGGTATGCCATTTATCCTGTGCACATTTTTCTGTTTTCTGTTTCTCATCACTGTTCGACTAAGAGTACTTTTTGATGTCTTATCTTCTTCAATATTATTCATGTGAGGTATATATGTTCCAGTTCATGAACATTATTGAATTCTCTCATATCTGATGGAAAATAGCATCTGGGCCATGAGCAAATGATGATGATGGTGATAATACAGTGTGTTCTAAAGTAACTGTAGACCTGTGGACATTGTAAAACAGCTTTTTTTTTTAATTGCTTCTATTTTTACACGTACATTATTTGTGGCACTTGTATTAGAACCTCTTTTTTTAAAGCCAATGGAGCATTGTGATAAAGATTCTAAACTCATATTCATTTTTAATAGACCAGTCACCACTCATTGAGTGATGTGGTCAGCATGATTCTGTCTGCCTTTACTTGCAAGGAAATTACCTGATACCCATGTTAGGTAACCGGCTCAATGCTGACCACATTACCCATCCAGTGCAGATTGGTCTGTAAAAATATGGGACGCTCTTCCCATATACCCGATGCCCCTAAGGCGTAAAAAAGGGATCTTTGCTTTACTTTTACATGTTAGGTAAGGCGGACCTAGGGACAAATGTCAATTTTGACAGAAATCTGTCTCGATATGGATTCCAACACTGAGAGCTTTGGGCCAGCAGTCGAGCATCTAGCTGCTACACTATCACTTACAAATTATAAAACATGTTTATGACCTATTTTATTTATCTGTCTTGTTTCTTTATATTAGGTGCATAGTTAGGTTTCGTCGGCATCTGTGGCTTAGGCGTTGCAAACGTGCTTTGTAAGGCAGGGGTGTCAGGTTCGATCACAGCTGCAGGCCTTGCTCCTTGCGTTGGTTTCGACAGTGGTATAGAGAAACCTACCGTTCAGAAAGCAGTGGCAAACTGGACGTAAATTTGCCTTAAAAAAAGGTCAGAAGGTTGAGGGCATGCATCTTCCTTGTAGCTACATGTGGATGTGAGTAGTGGACTATCTCACAGTCATTAGGTCAGAATACCATAGACTCAGAGGATAGGAAATACTGACATCCTAAAAGACCCGAACATCAAAAGAAGATTGGCTAGTAAACAGCATCTTGTCTCGAAAACTGAAATATTTTGGCCATATTAAGCACCACGGCAGATTGGAAATAGTAGTAGCAGAAGGCATGGGGCCAGGAAAGAGATGCAGGTGGCAACCAGCACGAAAATGGGCACATGATGTAAGCGACACTTTGGATAAGAAAGTGCATAAGGCAGGAGATCTAGCGAGAGACCACGTTCTTGCAGGTAGGCTGTGATGAGAGTGACATCTCTACAAAGAACTAGCTACATGATGATGATGCTATGGTAAAGAAATGGACCCTTTTCCACGCCTTTAGGCGTATAGGACATATAGGGCTAGACCTATATTTTATAGACCAATCGGCACAAGATAGATTATGTGGGCAGCATCAAGCCGACCGCCTTTACTTCTTGGGACTGCACCCTGTACCCACTCAAGGCTGGGACCCAAGGTCATTTTTTTTAAAGTCTGGCTCCACCAGGGAGCGAACCCACGACCTTCTGATCCGCGGCAAGAATCTAGCCATAGTGACTTCATTATTATTATTAATTTTGTTTGTTTAAATTTAGATTATGTTTAATGTCTCTGCAGATTACTATGTTGATTTTGTTTAGATTACCTAGTAAAACCACATATAGCCAACATATGCTGGGCTTGGTTTGCCACGCTCTGTTAAAGCTATGTCATTAATTTGTCTTTGGTTTTTTTAAAAATAATGATGATTTTTTTAGATGGTAATTTCAGTAATTTTTTTGTTGCAGAGCCTATAATCTGTGACGGTTCTCCTGAGATAAAAGTGCTCGATGATGGCTGGACACTGGTTACGGTTGACGGGAGTATATCTGCTCAGTTTGAGCATACTGTTTTAGTCACAGATGATGGCTGTGAGATATTAACACAGTAAATCATCGTCATGTACTCTTCTAAGCAGTACAGGCAATCATGTTCTTCCACAAACAAGCAGCTGCTGTAAAAAAAAAAAAAGTTGAAGGCGCCTATTATACCAGTGGTGCACGGCGCGCAACTCAGTGGATGATGTGGTCGATGTCACATTTTGCCACATTTACTGTGTCAGAACAAGAGCTGGTACTCATTTACGACTAAGTCAGCATGCAAGCCATGGTCATTTTTTTTTTAAATCTGACTTTTGCAGACTTAAATTCAAGGACTTTGGGTCAGCAGTCACATGTAGAATTTCCTATATCCTATCCTATGCCAGCACCTTTTCCTCACCTCTTGATTCATTGAACATTGTTTGGTTTTTTTCCAAAGCTCTGCATTAGTTATTCTGCTGTGTCATTTATTTCCCTCTATCCTGTGTGAGCACTGTTTATATGTCAAGAAAAAAAGATATCCCTTCAGCATATAAATAAGCTTGTAGTAAAAATATGAAAGAAGGGTTTGTAAAGGCTAGAAATTGTAAAGATCAGTAACTGCTGCATTATTGTTGAATTCTACTCATTGTAATCTTGAATGTGCTCACTGTGCTTAGCTAACTACATTGCTTTCAGACCTGTGAAGCCCTTGCAGATATGTCATCTGATCATAAATAGTTTTACTTGTTTATATTCTTATCCCCCCCCCAAGCGTTGCATAGGACTCAAACCAGCTGGTACCAGTCTTTTTAGATTGTTCTCTCTTAGATTGTTGTTATTCTGCAGCAGAAGCTATTTATTGTATTGGGTAGCCAACCCACAGCCAAACACTATCCTTAACTACCTCTTACAGAGTGCTTGTTTGATGCAATGATACTATTCTTTGTTTCCATTTAGGTCCTTGATAACCTACAAATATTTTGAAACTCTCAGACCTGTAATTATCTATGGATTGTGATTTCATTTTATATCTCCCACAGTTTAATAAGTAAAGAAAAGACCCTTTTCCACGCCTCTAGGCGTATTGGGCATATAATATAGGGCTAGACCAAAATCTTATAGACCAGTCGGTACTTGGTGGGGGATGTGGTCAGCATCACACCAGCCACCTTAACTTTCTAGGACTGAACCTGGTACCCACTCAAGGCTGGGTCAACCTGGGAGCCAAGGTCATTTTTTTAAAAAGAATCTGGCTCCGGCAGGACTCAGACCCACGACTTTCTGATCTGCTGGCGTGCATCTAGCCATTAAACCACGGCAACTCCCACAGTTTAATAATCATCAGCATCATCCCCTAACACTACGTGTCGTTGGGTCACCAGTTTCTGTTGACTGTCTGATCATCTCTCTCCACCTTTGGCGGTCAGTTGCGATGGACTTCATGGTTGCATGCCTGAGGCCTGTCCAGTCAGTCAGGTTCTGTAACCAGATCTTTCTTGGTCTACCTCTTCTCCTCTTTCCCTCTACTGAGCCCTGCAGTGTTGTTTTTGAGAGGCTGTTAGATCTTATTACATGTCCATACCATTGCATTTTTTCACTTTTTCACTAGTTAAAAGAGGTTCATAGTTGCCAATGTGCTGTATAATTTTGTAATGTGGTCTCTGTATGATATGCCAAGAATTTGTCTGAAACATCACATTTCTAATGCTTGTATCTTTCTTTCAAGTTTAGCTGTTAAGGTCCACATTTCACAGCTGTATGTAAATGTACTAATAGTTAGTGCTCTAAGCAATCGAATCTTAACTCTTTGAGTCCCAGGGGGTTTAGCATCACAGGCCCAGGGGGTAGTAAAGAAAGTAATAAAATCTGCGCATCATGCTTTCATTGGGCTTCCAAGTAGGAACCTATGAACGCATGATGCGTTCCTTGGGACTCAAAGAGTTAAGTTTTACATGAAATATTTTTGGATCTCCATAATGTTTGCTACTTGGCAAGGACTGATGTTAGTTAGTTAGTTAGTTAGTTAGTTAGTTAGTTAGTTAGTTAGTTAGTTAGTTAGTTAGTTAGTTAGTTAGTTAGTTAGTTAGTTGGGTTATCCTCATTGCACTCCGGACATGTCCATAGGTGCTCAGATCCTTCCCTCAGTATGAACCCCAACGTCCGATGGCTAATAGTACCAGTTTTATGTTAACAAGTAAGGACTGATGTTGTCTGGGCAATCCTAGATATGATTTCTGGTCGTGACCCCAAGTCACTTAAAATGGATCCTAAATATTTGAAATGAGTCACCTTAGGTTTGTTAAAGTTTGACCTCCGATATTAACTGTTGCATGATATTGTTCTAGGGCACAGTCAAAATTCTTTCTAAAAAGATATTAAACAGTGTTGGAGAGAGGAGGCAACCCTGCTGGACTCCTACTGTTGTTTGGAACCAGCTTCCTATTTGTCCTTTCAGCATTACAGCACTACTGGTCTTGGCATAGAGATGTTCTGTAGTACGTATGTGTTTAATACTTAAGGTAAATGTTCTATAGTATGTATGTATTTAATACCTAAGGTAAATCTTTCAGTGATTTTAATTAATACCTCCACAGCTGATAATCGTGTACACAGTTTTGTATTTGGTAGTCGCATGGCAGAGCGGCTAGATGCTCACCGCAGATCAGAAGGTCGTGGGTTCGCTTCCCGGCAGAGCCAGACTTTTTTCAAAAATAACCTTGGCCCCCAGCCTTGAGTGGGTACCGAGTCCAGTCTCGGGAAGTAAAGGTGGCCGGCGAGATGCTGACCACATCACACATCTTGTGCTGATTGGTCTATAAAATATAGGTCTAGCCCTATATGCCTATACACCTAAGGGCATGGTGAAGGGTCCTTTACTTTACTTACATTTTTTGTATTTGTGCTGGCATGAGTCTTTTGGGAGAAGTGGTTTTGTTTGCATGAGATAGAGAGAGAGAGAGAGAGAGAGATTGTATACAGGTTTTGTATTATTGGCAAATAAATGTTGGTTCCTGAAGAGATTAGTCTTTGATTATTAAAAATTTCAAAGAATGTTATTCACTGTTGTTTTGTTGATTTATAATTGACATGTTGAGGATGTAACTTAATGTTCATTGTTTTTGTTATCGATCTAGCCGTGCTTGAGTTTTCGCCTTTTTGCCCAAATGTTTATTGAAAAGGACACTTTATCTGTTAGTGGTGCATCAAATGTTAGACTTCTATTGTTTATAGAGCGATTGACACTGGTTTGGAAATTTAGCCAACATCACCCAACCACCTTTATTTCTCAGGACTTGCATGGTTCCCATTTAAGGCTGGGTAGACCTGAAAACCAGGGTCAATTCTGAACCCAACACTTTCAGATCGGCAGGCAAGTGACTAGCCATTACGCTACCTCAGCTTGGAATCTCAAGTTAACAAGTGTCTATAATAAACTTTTGACTGTAATTGTTTCAATAATAGGCATTCATTTGGGAAAAGTTTAAACCTATGGTGCCACATGCCAAACTTTATTATCATCATCAGGTTAGCTGGCATATGCCATCATGCCTCTCCAGTCTTCAACAGCATGTATCAGTTTGTGTGCTGACACCCCTCCATGCCATGACAAAAGGCTGTTAAGATTCGTCTCACATTTTTTGTCTCTGTCTTGTTTCCACCATATGATAAAAATTGGCTCTATATAGCATGCAAGAATACTTTTTCTAACCTCCAGGGATGGATATTTAGGCTGCATGCAGTTGTGGGACCTAGGCTGCACTCTCTCTGGGACCTAGGTGGGTTGGGGTTAGGCCCAGTTCTAGATGTTTTAAGGTAGTTAAAAGCATCAGAAAACCGGGAAACCCACTCTTACCACCATAAAAAATATTGGACTGTCCAGTGACATCATCCTGGGTGGAGATATTCGAAAAGCACCAAATGTTCATCATTTTATAAAATGCAGCTTTCGTTGTAAATCTCTGTGATGCTTCTGATATTGTAGGATGGTACCGATGGTCTAGATTTCTTCTCTCTAATTGGCAGAGTCTAGGTAATCCTGCAAGACATGCTCTGGATGTTGCTCTGGTATATCTATCATCTGGTATATGTTGCAGAGTTAATGAGACTCATTCGGCAAAAGTGTGCTCTGAGTTTACAGTGCTTCTGTTGAGAAATTAGGTCTTTAAGAAAATTATGTACATTAAAAGGGGTAAATTCAAGATGGACTAAGAAGTGTATGAACAACCCCTTGTATCATCAGTTATAGGACAAAGAAGATAACAATTTATTGGGCACATCAGTGGAACATCTTGTACGGAGGAAAAGAACAGCGTGTGAAAACATGCAAATTCCACTACATGGCATTTGGCCAAAGGGTGAAAGCTCATGTACCGCTGGATCGATAACAACAAAAACAACAACATTTGGCACATCATGAGGAGAAACAGAGAATCCCTAACAGACACTGAAATATGAAACAAATATATTGAGGAAACGAGAACGTCCTGCAGAACCCCTGAGAAGAATGTTGTTGAGAGAGGCAAAGAGGGCTGTACTGGACTCCACCATGATATCGGGAGGAATCTTTCCCACAGGAGATCATGGAATGGGGGATTTCTGCTGATCTGCATTACTTCAGTTTTAGTAATACTTATTTTTATGTTATTTCTTCTGCACGTTGAACGTAGCCTGTTCAAATGTTCTTGCTGTCTACTCCCCTCATTGTAGAACAGTTACTTGTTGTCTGCAAACAGTAGCACATATATTGTGTGTGGATCGATCTAATTCTTCCTCTGGAAAGTAAAGTTCCTTATTTTCTTAATATTCTAGGTCGACTGCTTTAAAGTTGGCCTCTTTCCGGTAATAACCATCTAAATCGGGTAAATATCTCAGACATGGGCCTGTACACAGACATTCGTGTCACTTTTATGAAAACCCACCCATATGTTATTACAAATTACTCTGTTAATTGTCGGGTACTTCAGTATAACATACGGGTGGACGGTTTCTGAGGTGCGTACATGTTTTTTTCTCATCCGTGAGATGTTAATTAAACAGAATGCATTTGTGGAGATTTTTTTAACGCATCTACTTTCTCTTTGAAATCTCG